TAATCGCATACAGTTTTTACGCAACTAGATATAAAATAATTGTCATACGCTTCTTTCTATCATGCGTTAACACGTAAAGAGATAGACAAACGCGACGGTAAACGCATCGCTATCTAGTGAGCATATGACAAACCGGAAGCGAATGCTCCTTTCATTAATCTCTACCGCTCATTTTGCTTTATTACTCTAATACAGGCATAATATAGCATTTGCAGAATTTCCGACTGTTTTCCAATGCAGAAAAAGATAATTAACGAAGATTTATTGTAATATACATTTTCAGACAATCATAGACAAATTTACTCGGACAAACATGGCAAATATTTTTTTTTGAAACATTTTCATATATACTTCGTAAAGTCGGTCCCCCCTCCCCTGAAACAATGTTGATGAACACTTCAGTCATTATGGCAACTATTGCAGTATCTGTAGCAACAACATTGTAACGGGGGAGCGGGGAATACGGCTGAATATGCGTATAATTATTCAGTGACCGGGAGCGGGGAATACGGCCGAATATGCGTATAATTATTCGATTCCTTTAAATTTCAGCCATTTTTAATCAGCGTCCGCATGTTATTTGTCTAGGATTGTCTGAAAAACTGTCGGTTGTATAAAGCATGAATTATTGTATAATTGCAACCCATTTTCACATTTTAGAAGTACCGAAGTTTTATATACACCTGAATAAGAAATGATATTCAAAATATTTAAAATTAATGTTAAAATATGCAAATATATTTTATAATTACAGTTAGTTGGATAGATTGTTGGCGTCATATGATTAACGTAATGTGCGTATAAATCGCAACGTGGCGAAAACGTATGAACGGAGACAAGAGCTTTAGCTCCTTTTCATAGAGAATATATAGGACTGAGTTATTGCTGAATAGCCGTACGATGTGGAATATCAAAATCAACGGCGCATGCACACAATATGTTGGAAGCAAATTAACCGTGTGAGTACATGTGTCCGCAAGCCATAAGGTCGTCCAAAATCTTTAAACGAAAGGGATGAAAGAATTCTACTCAAAGCTCTAATATAACATCGAATTTAATAGTATAATATAATTATTCACTGTTATATGGCTGATATAGAGTAGTCAAAATATTTTACACACACTAGCCTGTATAAATGCTTATAGTGAGCATGTTCTGATAATACTCTAAATGTGTAAATTCTTAGCACAAAATTGAAGAATTAAATCTTTATCATGACCTGCTTTGTTATATCTGTGGCCGTATTGGTTAATGCAGGTTACGCGCTAACTTGCGTTAACGAAATATTTTGGTTCTTGGACTTCTCGGCGGCCGACGGTAAACACACACAACAAATTTTAACCTGTCACTGACAGATTTCCCAATAAATTTCCATTTCACATGCTTTCTTATAGCCAAATTATCTACATTGCATTTATGATGATACACGGTAAATCTTTGGAAAAAACAGGAAAATATCACGGTAAACATCCGAGGACTCCCATTATAAATATAATTACTCAATGATTCTTAATTATTCAGCAACTATCGCTTTTCAATGTTTACCGTGGGCATTTTAAATACAAGGGTTTAGAATTAATATATTTCATGATACTATAATCGCATATAGTTTTTACGCAACTAGATATAAAATAATTGTCATACGCTTCTTTCTATCATGCGTTAACACGTAAAGAGATAGACAAACGCGACGGTAAACGCATCGCTATCTAGTGAGCATATGACAAACCTGAAGCGAATGCTCCTTTCATTAATCTCTACCGCTCATTTTGCTTTATTACTCTAATACAGGCATAATATAGCATTTGCAGAATTTCCGACTGTTTTCCAATGCAGAAAAAGATAATTAACGAAGATTTATTGTAATATACATTTTCAGACAATCATAGACAAATTTACTCGGACAAACATGGCAAATATTTTTTTTTGAAACATTTTCATATATACTTCGTAAAGTCGGTCCCCCCTCCCCTGAAACAATGGGAGCGGGGAATACGGCCGAATATGCGTATAATTATTCGATTCCTTTAAATTTCAGCCATTTTTAATCAGCGTCCGCATGTTATTTGTCTAGGATTGTCTGAAAAACTGTCGGTTGTATAAAGCATGAATTATTGTATAATTGCAACCAATTTTCACATTTTAGAAGTACCGAAGTTCTATATACACCTGAATAAGAAATGATATTCAAAATATTTAAAATTAATGTTAAAATATGCAAATATATTTTATAATTACAGTTAGTTGGATAGATTGTTGGCGTCATATGATTAACGCAGGGGCGGATCCAGACCGATGCCAACGATGCGAATGCATCGGTCAAAATTGAGAAATCATGTTGCTTGAAATAATATGTCGTCAATACTTAGTCAAGCACTCAGTAATAGAATATCTTTGAATCTCTCCAGCTATCAAACTGCAAATATTTGCTTAAACTTGACTCCATGTGACTGTCCATGTCGGGAATACACTATTTAGGATGAAATCCAATTTAAATTGTCTCAATAACAGTCGAAATTGTGAAAATAAGTCCAATATGCGACGTGCGATCGCAAAAGTATTTTCTGTTATTTACTTTTTATTTTGCGACACTTAAGCGTGAATAATTTCGCGACAAAATATATTATTTTTTACCGCATTCTTTGACGTCACAGTAGAAAGCTGATGCATCACCTACGTCAACCTCGTACCCAGGCTCTTACCTTCGCACGCCCCAAGCTGCGGAAAGACCCTGGTGCCGGCTTGTCACGTGGCTCCCAGAATATTAAATTACCAAGGGAGGGATGGACAAATCTAAATTACAATGCTTCCACTTTGCAATAGTAAAATTCGTTGGCAAGGAGCGGACGTATTGGTTTGAATTGCAAAAAGTGTAATTTGAGAGCACTTTATATCGCAATTTGTCATTGTATAATTTGTATTGAATACTTCAAGGAAAACTTCTTGTCAAATTGACAATTATGCGCGCGTTTGTGTTCTTTTTGTCATTCACATGCTGCCAGGCCATAGAAGCAAAGTTGATAATTTCAACGGAAACTCGAACGAAGATGCTCGAGTTTCATTGCATTTCTTGCTTGTTTGGAATTCGTTGTTCTAAATAGCGCATTTCATAACAACATACTGTACTAAAGCCGAACCAACTAAGCAAGTTCTTTGTTTGGAAAGTATTTAAAAATTATTTATTTATTCAATTTCGCCAGGTTAAATTACACGATTGATAACATTGTGTTCAAACTTCGACAAGAGTTGCAATTTAAACATACAGATGTCCGTGTTCTTGGGTCCTGCATCAAAACAACTGTGCAGGGCTTTCAAATAATACTGTCGTAAAGCACGCGAGCAAATTTTATTTTTACAAATTTTATTTGATCAAATGCATTTGATCAAAAGCTAGCATGCAGCATGCTATATGCTAGCTTTTGATCAAATTAAATGCATTTGTCACAATAAATTTGTCACAAATTTATCATCTACACGAGCAAAATATCTTTGACATTCAATTTGCCCGTGTAAACGGGCCTTAACAAACTCTTAAATGTACTTAAACATATATTATTTATTCGACAAAAGATGTTATTTATAATTTGTATCCTGCCAACGCTTTATATGGAAAGTCTGTGATTTTTATCTGACCCATTGTTGATGTTTGCAAGGGATCATATTTAATAAACAAGTCGATTTTCTTTCTCCATGGAAATCATTTGAGATATCTACTCAGGACGGTTCGTGTATTGTTATAGTTGTGTCTCCCTTGAATTCACTGATACAAGATCAAATATCTCGACTGAAATCAAGTGGCCTTCGCGCGTCTGCCATTCTATAAATATTCGCAAAAAATATTCCATGGAGAAATCACAATTGGATTGTACATTTTGGGTTTAAATGGGGATTACTAACATACGTATACGGATGACTATATTATTAATTGCGGTAAAGTTTATTGGTAGATGATATTCATAGACAATTGACTTACTTCTGTTGACATGGGTAAAGGTGTAGCAGATCTAGTTTTATCACTCGAGGAGGACACATTGACTGATTGACAAAGTCAGTGTAAAAGCCAAACTGCGCCTTCGACTTTCAACTGCAGCAACATTTGCCGAAGATCTGGCAACGGATAGAAAAACTTCAGGGCATCGCTTGGATCGTGAATCTTTTACTAATGATTTCTGTGTTTCGGAAATTACATTCTTGAACGTCGTTCACAAGGACGGCACTCGATCGGCAGATCAAATATTAAAGGAAAATCATCAACATGCGGCAGTCTCTCGCCATGAATCAACTCCGTGTTATTCAAAATTCCTTAATTTGTTTTGTTGAAGAGATTCTTACAATGTATCTGATCTTGTACACCATTATATAATCGACAACGAGAACTATTTTCAGTTGATCCAGGAGATCTTTTTGTTAAATTTCTTTGGCGTGCTTTAGCTAAGCCGATATAGTGACAGTGAAATATGAGATATTTGTAATCCTTGAGAGTAATATGATACTCTTTCGGCTGCAACACATGATTAATCTGTTGTTTTAACATTTCGTCCAGAAAAAATCTTTTATTATTATTTTCTTTTTATTATTATTTTTTTTTATTATTTTATTACAGTTAGAATTTTACTATTTTACAAATTCAGAAACAATTTCAATACGTACAAATCATTTCTACCACCCCTCCCTGAATAGCAATTTATTTTAGCACCCAAAATTTGGGAGCCACGTGACCAGCCGGCACCAGGGTCTTTCCGCAGCTTGGGGCGTGCGAAGGTAAGAGCCTGGGTACGAGGTTGCACCTACGTCACGGTAGATTTTGTTTGCATCGATTTTCAGCCATTTTGCATCAGTGAATGCATCGGTCCCGAGTCCTTTTCCGCGTAAAATCTACTGTGACATCATCAAATCTATTGTTTTAGAGCCCTACGTCACGGTAGATTAGTCCGCTGAGCGATGCATCGCATGCAGATTGCGGGCGCTCGCATCAGTTCACTGATGCAAATTTCAAAATCAAAATCTACTGTGACGTAACGAGGCATTTGATTCAAGTCATGGCGGCAAGGATATGCAAACACATATGCAAAATATCCCTCGAATATGATGGAGAGGAATTAAGTTACAGTCGAATTAATTACCAAGGTTTGGAATGAATTTGATCTTTCAACTGAGCAGTGAGCACAAGAATTGAAGTATATTTATACTGTGAGAATGTGAGATGCCCACTACGGCCACTAGGGCTCTAAAGTAAGTGGAATTTATGTATATTTTACATTGTAGTACATTGTTAATTGTTCAGTTCAAGAAGTGCATAAAGTGGAAAATTGGCTCCACAGTTAATGTAGATTTGTATGTATTTATAACATAATAATTAAAGTTTGTGTCTATTTGATACTGCTGTTCATACCAGGAGGGGGGTTGTGAGGGGGGTGGGGGGATGAGGTAGTTTGACATTTTAGACATTTTACAGTATTTACAGAGATTTGTTTGTCTGGAGGCAAACCAGCCCCATTACCAAACTTGACAGCTTGCTTTACTGAGGCAAATTTCATCTCTGTTTACATGGGATTTATATAACCTGTGCCCATGCAGACCTTCATTTTTCTCACAGCTGGCAGGCAAAGAAAAGTGAAGACCTGATAAAGTCACATGTTATTAAATGTTTGTGTCCTACAACTGCCTTTATGGTTGTAACTCTGATTGCCGGCTACTTCTAGCATGAGTATTCATGCCATATTTAATGTATTTTTTTTGATATTTTGGTTAGTGCTATATATAATTAAATAATGATAGATTAAATAGTGATTGTAACTATATTTAGCTTGTTGTTAAATTATGTGAAATAATTTGACATTGCGCCTGGCACATTTTGATTGGATACCGGTACTAAAAATAAAACTTTGGTGTGGGTCAAGACTTGCATCAGGCTCTATACAGTATGTAATTACAATGCATAATAATATTGCAGGTTAATTAACCCATTGAGTCGCATTGCACCCTGATGTACCCTACTTTAGTATTTTACTCTGTCTAACGCCAGACGATTTTACTCGTCAAGGGGAGAGCGCTGGCGCTTAATGGGTTAATGAGCTGGATTTCTAATAGTGATGCAATATTGGTTAGAAAACATTACATTTCATTTTATATGGAAATGAGCTAGCATGCCTCATGACAAGAGTATAATTGCTTTGCACTGCCTGAGTTATTGGGCAATTACTGTACACTGGATATTTTGCAAACAAAGATCATTACCTGGGCGTGCTCGCCTACCATAGTTTGGTACATATGCTTTGTCGGTGCAAATATCATTTGATATAAGCTGTACATATGTCATTCTGTTGACATTCATTTGATATAAGCTGTATATGTCATACTGTTGTTTAATCTTAGAATGATAAAATGATGGACGTTATAAATACTGTATATAACTGCATGTAACTGGTGTATATAGGTTATAATTATGAAATTTGCTCACAAAAGTGGTATAGATTTAATTAAATTATATATATTTGTACAACCTCGTTCCCAGGCACTTTGCTCTTGGGAAGCAAAGACCCTGGTCGGAGCTGGTCACGTGACCCATAGAAAATTGATAGCCCAAGAGGGGGATGGAAAAGTCTCATATTACATGTTTCCACTTCTGCACTTCGCACTTCGATTGCAAGGAGTGGCCGTTCTGTGCAATCATTAATTCATCTTCAAGAATCATATATACCTCAAACTACTTGCTAAATTGGTATCTGTTTGCTTTTAAATTATACAAACATGCTAAAATGCAGATTAATATTCTTATAGCAACAGAAAATTCAGGAAATCAAGCAACGAGAACGTATGACTGTACGCTTTGAAATATTTTTATTTTCTCGGGATTCGCCGGTTCGGGCGTAGTTTCATTTCACGCATGCGTTTCTGTTCTGGCTCTGATTTTTATAATATGCTTATAATATGCCAATGAATTGTTCTGATATGGACACGGTATAAATTTTGTTAAACAGATGTCTCAAAAGCGACAGCTGTTTATAGGTGGTAGGATTAGCGCCTTGCCGGTCTTAAAGTACATGACACATTTGGACACAAGCCAAATACACATTGAATGTCCATTTTATTAATTCTAAAACTGTTTATAGACATATTCCTCTAGATTTTTTAAAAGGTTATCATCGTTTATATTAAACACCAGGAAGACAAAATATAACGTACAAAATTGTTTGAAATGGACAGTGCACAGCTGACATACGACAATTCACATCTGCATGAATTTTCTTTTTTGTCTGCACGAGTACCTGTTTGTTGAAGCCAAAATATTGCACAGTATCTCCTATAAATTCTATTGTCATTTACCCTCTCCCCTTAAAAGCAAAGGAATGACAGCAGAAAAGGTTTAGCAAAGTATTTTTTATTACATCTGGTATAAACTATAAAGTGTCCAACGTTTTATCAGGATATAATACATAATTCATAAACTGTATATGCACACGAAGTCTCGCTTATATTAATGAGTTTTACTGTAACAAACCTTTTAAAGTTTCCATTGAAAGATAGGTTGTTTGCCTCCAGTATTGTTTGGTAAAACAGACTAAACTTCTAAAATGTCGGTTACGGAATACGATAAAGATTAAAGTTGATTTAAATATTGATAACAGCGGCATTAATCCATTATACAAGTCTAAAGAAGCTGGATTATTCTTCAATAAAGCCCTCAATGGACATTCACAATGCCAACGTCAATGAAAGGTCGAATATTATACACGTTGCAAATTACTGTATACACAAAATATGAAATAATTTATATAAAGTACAATACCAGTGTCTGGTGCATATATCGTCCTAGATATTCAAGTTGTACCGCACGCACGGAAACGCACGGAGGAGTCTTGGCTTTGTGTGATAACAGATAGCTAGCTACACTTCGACATTATCTTTCTTGATCGTTGAGTTTCAGCAATGTAAATGAAATGAATTTTATAGCCAGACTAAGCCAGTCCATAACGGGTTTTAATCCTGTGCTTTTACAGTCAAAATAGCACTATTGTTTACACATGTTGGCGATGTTTGGGAAATCAAAGGATCCCGTTATAAAATAAATATTTTGTTTTGAATATCGGACAGGATAGGCTACACTTCAACTATAAAGAACCATATCGTTCGTTTAATACCGTTTGATCGATCATTCTGTGTAGAAGATATGTATGTTTCTACGGCGATAGGTGCTACACTTCGCAAGCCAGGTGCGTGTGGAGTGCTTTCCTTGCAAGTGAAATATGATCCAGCTTCTCGCTTGAAATGTACCGCAACACTTATTATTGATGACATTCAGAACAGCAGGAAGTCTTGTCATGATCGGTACAATTTAAAACAGTTCCTTTCACAATCTTTTGTTGCAAATTACATTTTTATCACCCGAAATTATAACACATAAAGTTGCAAATTTTCCAAAAGCAACAAACAGACTCCTCTACTACCCCTCCCTGAGGTCAAATTCAATTTACCCCCAAAATCTGGGGGTTCACGTGACCAGCTCCGACCAGGGTCTTTGCTTCCCAAGAGCAAAGAGCCTGGGAACGAGGTTGCCACGACCCACGCCTTTTTACCCACGACCCACGCCTTTTTACCCACGACCCACGACATTCTACCCACGACCCACGACTGTTAGCTAGTCCCATATTCCTGTAGCTACAATATCGAGCGAGAAAACGTTGTCTAAACGATGGGGTCAAAATAACAAAATGTAAACAATATTTGAAACCAGAATTATAATTAGAAAGTTTAATGCAACATAAACATGACTTTTATTCGTCTATATCTGTGCGAATATTACAAGTATAATAATTTTACGCATATTGTCAGATAGCTGGTGAAAATGCATACATTTTAGCGGGAGCTATATTCTTGTAGCTACAATATTGAGCGAGAACACGTTGTCTAAATGACGGGGTCAAAATAAAAAATGTAAACAATATTTGAAACCAGAATTATAATTAGAAAGTTTAATGCAACATAAACATGACTTTTATTCCTCTATATCTGTGCGAATATTACAAGTATAATAATTTTACGCCTATTGTCAGATAGCTGGTGAAAATGCATACATTTTAGCGGGAGCTATATTCTTGTAGCTACAATATTGAGCGAGAAAACGTCTAAACGACGGGGTCAAAATCACACAATGTAAACAAAATTTGAAACCAGAATTATAATTAGAATGTTTAATGCAACATAAACATGACTTTTATTCGTCTATATCTGTGCGAATATTACAGGTAAAATAATTTTACGCATATTGTCAGATAGCTGGTGAAATCAGCTACATTTTTGTACAAGCTATAACATTGGAGCTAGAATATTGAGCGATAATTCGTTGCCTAAACGAGGGTGTAAAAATTGCCGTCGGAATATACATTCTAGTCGGAATATATATTATGTCTGGTTTTAATTTAGGCACGAGTTTCAATCGCTTACATTAATTCGAAATTTAATTACGACATACACCCCTGACGTGGATGTTTTGAAAGCTTGTCAAAATACCTACATTTTAGTGGAATTTATATTCAGGTTAGTAGAAAATTCGCCGAGAAAACGTTCGCAACAAACTGTTGTTGATCATGCCACGGAAATTCAAAAACTATAATTTTCAAAGTCTCGCCTTGCTGCGCATGTAAGCACACGCATTTGAAGCTTTCAAAGTATTATATTATAGTTTTAAACATTTTATAACAGACACAGTTGGAAAGCTTATTGAAACGGCCTAGTATTTTGAAAATGATGTGGTATCTGCCAGACGTATATCAAAAATCGAGCTTCAATTCAACAGTATTGATAATAGTATTCGCTATAAAAACTAACCCACTGTGTTTCCTCCAGAATAATAGAACATCAGCCTTGCACAAAATTTCTTGAGGTTGTTTACTTTTAATACTGCTTACTTGTTTGTTCACAGTTCGAGGATCTGACACGAGGAGCGCAAAAGAGATTAGGAATCCCGCCAAAACTTACCCTGGTTGCCAGAGGTTCTGTATCTTTCGCCTTATTCCCGCTCGTATATTTATTTTACGCGAGGCGAAGAGAACCTCTGGTGGCACGCGATACAAATCTCACTTCCATGCTGACGTTGCCGTTGAGAACTTGCAAAACCGGTTTTATATTTTGTGACGTTTTTAAACTTCCGGGTTTGTCATACTACCAAAATAGCTCTCTTCAGACTGTTTGGCAGCCTTGTGTAAAATATTAAAAATAAGCAGCCCAAACATGTAGGTTATTCATTAGAAACATGTAGATTATTCTCGCAACGCACAAGCCACCTTATATACTGATTGTTAAATTTGTGGAATGCCGTTTGTAATAGCGAACGTTAGGAACGTCTAAAGTCAAAAGTGAAAGAATATAAATATATAAATATTTATATATATGTGTGCAACGGAGCCAGTATGTACGTTGTCCTTAACAGACAACGGGAAAATATTGGCAAAATAAATCATATTAATAACTATTAAAGTCAAAGAATTACCAAAATTTAAAACCTTGAACGATATAAAGCAAGCGAGTGACCAACACTATATATTTTACAAATATTAATACTGTAACTGAACATCTCATGCCGTCAACTCAAGTCATGCCGCGATGGCAGGTCTTCTCCAGCGCAGAAAATCGTTTTATAGCGAAACAAACTAAGTTAATCTCAAATATATAAACCCACACCAAGTAAAGCATTTTAATACGTTCGTATTATTTCTGCATTTTGTTTACATCATGTTCTCTGAGATTTATAAACAGGTTTTTTTGTCTAGCCAATCGCATCACTTCATGTGACTGCTAATTATAACTAACCAATCATGTGCTTGGTACAAATTTTGTACCAAAGGAAGAGAGATTTGTATCGCGTGCCACCAGAGGTTCTCTTCGCCTCGCGTAAAATAAATATACGAGCGGGAATAAGGCGAAAGATACAGAACCTCTGGCAACCAGGGTAGCCAAAACTTGTTAGAGCTAATCCAGCCTTGAATAATTGGCCCTGGCGATTTAGTTTCCTGTGGAACAACCACTGAACCTCCTTATAACTAATTACGCCTTGATGCACCCCACTTTATTAATTTACTCTTTCTTATTAAATGCCTGACTATTTTACTCTGTCTAGTGCCAGACCATTTTACTTGTCAAGGAGATAGCGCTGGCACTTAATAGGTTAATATATTTCACAGTCTATAGTTCTAATGCACCAGTCATTTGCTTCGTTAGGGGCTGTGTATATTGAAACGAGCCCAGTAAACTGGTTTATATGGAACAAAATTATCCTCCTTGGGGCTAATTTTGCTGCGTTGACAGTTAAAAAAAATAGCTCGCAACTGACTGACGGCATCTTTAATCTTTGCAAGTGAGTGTTTCATCCTTGCAACCAAGATGTCAAACCCAGCTTGTCTGTATAAACACAAAGTAATTTCTGTCACAAAAATAACTACACAAGAAGATCAAGATTGCTCACCACTGTTACAAATACTGGCTTGTGGCCTAACAGTTTTTATTATTAGCACGACAAAATTACTGGATGCTGATTGGTTTAGAGGAGTACAATTATTTCATTGATTGTACTGCAGTACAATTAATGATTTTCCCAAAACAAACAAAATGGCAGAAAGGTATTTTGAACACAAATGTGAAATGAAATTGCCCTTGAGGAACTAGATGAAAATACGAACAAAGCGCCAAATTTTGCTTGAACAAAAGAACTAAATGAAAATACGAACAACATTGAAAGTCTGGCAGGACTGGGCTTTGGCGAGAGAATATGAATATAATCATGCTATGTTGCTCGTCCAATTAGGGATTAATTTAATAGTACTTGTGATGTTTGGAAATTTGCCAAATTGGACTCGCCCCGGCGGCCAGTCCAATTTTGGTTATTAAGCCGTGTAGCAAAGCACAGAACACGTCACCAGTAATATACAAAATTATTCTGGTTATAAATAATATATGGTAATTATACAAACTTTGTCTTACGTCATCTATAACGACTCTGAATGCCATACGCCAAAATGATGTACGTTTTTGCCTTTTTATCCATCTGCCAGAGCGCCAGTTTGCCAGAGAGCCGGCAGTTTTGCCAGAGCGCCAGTTTGCCAGAGCGCCAGTTTTGCCAGAGAGCCAGTTTTGCCAGAGCGCCAGTTTTGCCAGAGTGCCAGTTTCGCCAGAGTGCCAGTTTCGCCAGAGCGCCAGTTTGCCAGAGTGCCAGTTTGGTTATTAAGCCGTGTAGCAAAGCACAGAACACGTCACAAGTAATATACAAAATTATTCTGGTTATAAATAATATATGGTAATTATACAAACTATGTCTTACGTCATCTATAACGACTCTGAATGCCATACGCCAAAATGATGTACGTTTTTGCCTTTTTATCCATCTGCCAGAGCGCCAGTTTGCCAGAGAGCCGGCAGTTTTGCCAGAGCGCCAGTTTTCCAGAGCGCCAGTTTTGCCAGAGAGCCAGTTTTGCCAGAGCGCCAGTTTTGCCAGAGTGCCAGTTTCGCCAGAGTGCCAGTTTCGCCAGAGCGCCAGTTTGCCAGAGTGCCAGTTTTGGCAGAGCGCCAGTTTTGCCAGAGCGCCAGTTTTGCCAGAGCGCAAGTTTACTAAAGTGCTAGTCGGTTTTGCCAGAGCGCCAGTTTGCCAGAGCGCCAGTTTTGCCAGAGCGCCAGTTTTGCCAGAGCGCAAGTTTTGCCAGAGCGCCAGTTTTGCCAGAGCGCCAGTTTCGCCAGTTTACTAAAGTGCTAGTCAGTTTTGCCAGAGCGCCAGTTTGCCAGAGCGCCAGTTTTGCCAGAGCGCCAGTTTCGCCAGAGCGCGAGTTTACTAAAGTGCTAGTCAGTTTTGCCAGAGCGCCAGTTTGCCAGTTTTGCCAGAGCGCCAGTTTTGCCAGAGCGCCAGTTTTGCCAGAGCGCCAGTTTTGCCAGAGTGCCAGTTTTCCCAGTGGCAAGTAAAGGAATTCGCTGCTTTTCTTTCAAACCATATCGTATACTGAACTTAACTAAACGTACTGCTTTGTTTCAGAGAATTAAAACAGAAATTACTTTGACGCAAAAGAAAATGCTGAAATATATTGCGATATAACATTCGGCAAAACCAGTAATCGGCCCGAATAATCGTTGTGTGCAAACGTAGCTTAATGCGACACTAAATTAAATTAACAATTCAGTATATAGTCGAGTATATATATATATATAGTCGCATTATCCATTCATCTGTACTATTATTGTTATTCATCTGCACTATTATTACGTAGATATAGTTCCATAGTTACTGTTGCTTTAATGCGACACTAAATCAGTAGCTAAATGACAGTTAGCTGGAACACTTGGTGATCAAAAGACAGGATAATATTAGATATGTAGAGTTCATTATTTTGTATATAAGTTATGTTATGTATGTAAATATATTTCAAATTAGAAGTGTTACATTTTTATAGCATCATGGCTTCCTTGCGAAACGACTATAAATATTAAGAAAGGCAGAATATTCATGAGCATGGTGTGTCAACAACTGGCGCGCATATTTCCCGCCAAAAATTAATTTACGCAGTTCATGCTAGCCTGCATGCGCGCAGTCTTATGACTTCAAAACGATGTCGATATCATGAGACTGCGCGCTGGCTAAGTTTAACAGTCAGTATCAAATACCTACCAATTTCAGCAACAACTCTTGTTTTTAATAACCCACTGAAATGATACACAAACGCGGTCGTACAAATCTTTACATGTCACATTATTTTGAACGTTGCATATAGTTTTACCAGTGGATGTATAAATGCATATGACCGTGATATGATTTATGTTTTAAAACACTACAAAGGTCAAAGGCAAGATGTATGTGGAAGTATATAAATGTCAGCTTTCATTAAAGTGCGGGTCCGTCCATCCACATTAAGGATTTAATTAAGAGTGAATATACAAACGCGAAACATTCGCGGTTATAGTCGTTACGCGCATAATACTATATAGCACATTAAAATATTAATTTAACATGCTTAATAGCTTTATTTTCGTGAAGTTGAACTATTCAAAATATTTCATTATTGTTATGTTACTGATAATGTTTGATTAAATGCCTGACACTTCAAGTGCCACATTACCGGCTCGTTGTTATCGCAGTTCTGCTTCAGGGCAGGTATTTTGAATTTCAACTCTCTGGTTTAGAAATATCAAAGTATTATAACAATATTTCCTCAACAAATATGAGCAATAGACAAAGACAATAACTTGTTATGTAAGATGGTGTGATCATATATACAGTAATAAATCTTTCATATGCAAGACAAACTGACAAAGGTCGCATAACAAACCAGATTGAACGCAAGAGCATGTATAGTCTAGTAGTAGAATTGCAATTTTAACTTAATCGTAAATCGCAATATATTTCAGCATTTTCTTTTGCGTCAAAGTAATTTCTGTTTTAATTCTCTGAAACAAAGCAGTACGTTTAGTTAAGTTCAGTATACGATATGGTTTGAAAGAAAAGCAGCGAATTCCTTTACTTGCCACTGGCAAAACTAGCTGGCACTCTGGCAAAACTGGCGCCCTGGCAAAACTGGCGCTCTGGCAAAACTGGCGCTCTGGCAAAACTGGCAAACTGGCGCTCTGGCAAAACTGGCGCTCTGGCAAAACTGGCGCTCTGGCAAAACTGGCGCTCTGGCAAAACTGGCAAACTGGCGCTCTGGCAAAACTGGCAAACTGGCGCTCTGGCAAAACTGACTAGCACTTTAGTAAACTGGCGCTCTGGCGAAACTGGCGCTCTGGCAAAACTTGCGCTCTGGCAAAACTGACACTCTGGCAAAACTGGCACTCTGGCAAACTGGCGCTCTGGCGAAACTGGCACTCTGGCGAAACTGGCACTCTGGCAAAACTGGCGCTCTGGCAAAACTGGCAAACTGGCGCTCTGGCAAAACTGCCGGCGCTCTGGCAAACTGGCGCTCTGGCAGATGGATAAAAAGCCAAAAACGTACATCATTTTGGCGTATGGCATTCAGAGTCGTTATAGATGACGTAAGACATAGTTTGTATATAATTACCATATATTATTTATTACCAGAATAATTTTGTATATTACTTGTGACGTGTTCTGTGCTTTGCTACACGGCTTAATAACCGAAATTCCCTGCCTCGTACCCAGGCGCTTACATGAAGTATTCAGGTAGGCATCCGACGCGCGAAGGGGCTGTTGGGAAGGGTGCACTCTTCCCATCAGCCCCTTCGCCATCTCTCCCCACTACAATACTTCATGTAAACACGTCATATGGGCATTACTGTTTTTTTACAAAGAGACGCCTGGGTACGAGGCAGGGAATTCCGAGTTTGACTAATGGTCGCGGGTCGCGTGTCGCGGGTAAAAAGTCGCGTGTCGCGGGTAAAATGTCGCGGGTGAAGTCGCGGGTCGTAAAAAAGCTCCAAACCGTGTATTTTATTGAGTCGCGGGTTGAATAAAGTGTGTAAAAATCACGTTATCATTTACTGAACAGCTATATAGGATTGCTTCAATACGAAATATTGCCCAAGAACCTTTTGTCACGATTTAATGAGTTTGACTAATGGTCGCGGGTAAAAAGTCGCGTGTAGAATGTCGCGGGTAAAATGTCCCGGGTAAAAAAATCACGGGTCGTAAAAAAGCTCCAAACCATGTATTCTAGAGTCTCGGGTTGAATAAAGTGTGTAAAATCACGTTTTCATTTAGTAAACAACCATATAGGATTGCTTCAACTCGAAGCATTGCCCAAGAGCCTTTTGTCGCGATTTAATGGTTCAATATAAACGTGCCAGAAGCCTAAAACTTGAAAGAATAATTTCAATATGTTAAACCAACAATTATACCATGACAAAAATCCTCTAATCAAAAAAATGTTCTGACAGAAACAAACAAGACTTTCGGGTAGAAATAAATTCAGTTTACCACTATACTATTACAATCAGTTTTATACCAATTTAAAAACAACCATATAGTATCACAAATAATAGATATATCCATGCTAGGACATTATAAAAGTACATTATGATTCACCAACAACCCGGATATTTAAGTCGGTTGTTCTCTAGCAGTTGTTTCTGGAAAGTACTGATCGATGCGCAGAGGCTTGACGACAACGCGCACTGAGCCACTGAATAGCGGATTTTTACGCCTGATATGGTAGAAATTGGATGCCTATGTATTACTAAAATCAGGACTATAAGCATAGGAATGTGTAACAGGATCCTTTTGCACAACCGGACCACCGTCTATCAACGTGCTTCAGTTACAATAATGTTATATGGTTCTTGTCTATATTTATCTAGAAACTCGCAATTGCAGCCATAACATCTTCGAACAACTATTGATAAAAACCATTAAATAACTAATAAATGATAACGTGATTTTTACACACTTTATTCAACCCGCGACTCAATAAAATACACGGTTTAGAGCTTTTTTACGACCCGCGACTTTTTACCCGCGACATTTTACCCGCGACCCGCGACTTTTTACCCGCGACACGCGACTTTTTACCCGCGACACGCGACCCGCGACCATTAGTCAAACTCGGAAATTCCATATCAGAGACCCAAATTACGATCCGCTCTACAGTTTCAGATTCCAGTTTCAGATTCAAATCATTATATCTTAGTACTTGTTACTATTATCCTTTTTTTTTCCTATCCTTACTACAATGAAAAACACTCGAACTGGCACCTTATGTATGTTATAGTTATTTAATTTGAATTTGTATCTAGGGACCTTAAAAAAAAGCCTTTTGGTTTCTAGTAGGTTCCTAGCCCTAAAAAAATTGTAAATAATGTATGTTGTTAAATGTTATATTTTTGGACGAAAATTAAAAAAAAAAAAAATAAATAAATCTGAAACGGGGTCAATTGTCGCGTATAAAATGTGGAATTGCTCTGTCTCTTTTCACGGAATAAACGTAATTCGTCAAGGACATCCATCTTCAGACAATTGTGCATTTGACAAAACTATATTTTAGTTTTTACCTCATAATGTGAAGCCAGGAAAAATCGCAGAAACTACACTACCAACGCGTGATTTCGCAAAATTATTTTTCGCTGTGTATCGCAAAATACGCGTGTATTTCCCTAATTTCTGAAAGACATTCATTAGTACACTATAGTAAATGGTATAAAGAAAACTAGGTCTTAAAAACGTTACTTGTTTTGTCAGGAAAAATCGCAAATCATAGATCATGAGATACGGCTTTTGTAACCTGAAGCGAACGTCAACAACGCAGCTGAGAGAATAAACACTTCTCACGCGTCACACGCTCACTTTGGAATATTCGTCTGCGAAAGACATTCATCTACAACTATCACAAAATGATACAACGCACTTGTTATTTTCAAACAGCTTGTTGTTTCGGCAGGAAAAATCGC